ATATATTTTGAATGTAATTTATTCCTGTGATGGCAAAACTCAACTCTCAGAAGTCATTACTCCAGTCTTCAGTGTCACATTATACTTAATTTGTTTAAACCTCTCTGACATTGCTTGATTTTTATTTGAGTAGGTCTGTAGATATATTCTCTAATTTATATTGTTCAATTGATCTTTGATTAATGTTTCTCTTTCAGGAGACTACAGGGATGACCATGTTTTCTCTTTGTACTTCATGATTCCCTTTTTTTTCACCACATTAGCCCTCTTCTACCACAACTGGTTTGTTAAATATATTGCTTTTTGATCATCTTTACTTACTTTAGTTTAAGACGGCCCATTAAAATGCTGAACTGAAGTTTGACAATCAGCACTGATAATAATCTTAACCTCAACCACTCCTATTTTTGAACCTATAATAAACCTTTGAATATCTTTTATCAGGTACCCTTCCTCTGTGTTTGTGGGAGACACTTTCTGTTACTTTGCTGGAATGACGTTTGCAGTGGTTGGGATACTCGGCCACTTCAGTAAGACCATGCTGCTTTTCTTCATCCCCCAAATCATCAACTTCATTTACTCTTTGCCTCAGCTGTTTCACATTATTCCCTGTCCCAGACATCGTCTGCCTAGGTGGGTTATTACACTAACATTTTAAAATCAAGCTATAACATAGATTCCTTTTTACTTACAGTAGAATTTATTTTGACAGTTATTTGCATTTGAAGTGTTAAATTCTTTAACTTTTTCACTTATGATTTATTTGTAAGTTTTATACATGCTTTACTTATGATTTCAACAGTGTTCCCTAAACATTTGCACCATAGATAAGGCAAAATGAAATGGTTATGAGAGCTTGACCTCTGAAACTGATTAATGCAGGTTACAATCTGACACGGGAAAGCTTGGCATGAGCTATTCCAAGTTCAAACAGAAGGACCTGGGCAAATTAGGGCAATTTATTCTGAAGGTAAACACACTCATGCCACTGTCAGAATTTTCATTATAAATAGGTTTAGGAATGTTTGTTTAAAAGAATGTTATTTT